AAAGAGGTTCCTGAAATACAGCCCACTCTATGTTCATGACTTACTCTCACCATGATTGGTGGCGTGCATGCAAATGCAGCCCAGCATGTATGTATCTGCTCTGCTGCTGACTGCTATCTTCGTCTTTTCCTTGTCGGTCTACGGTAGCCGTCGCCGTACTACTACACCATCAGCTGTTAGAGCGCGTGAAGCAGGTTCTCATCACTGACGTTTAGCAGTCTACCTCCGTTTCCAACTGCCTCCGCGGCTTTTGGTTACCTGAGCGACAGCGGAGCCAGTATGGCGTTCGATGACAGCAATGCAATGCGGCTCAGGTAACTACGTTATACTGAATACCTCGCCGCTGTTCCCTATCCTCCTGTTTTCTCCATTTATTGAGTTCATAGTTAGAATATTGCACGTTGATTTCTTCACTCTCTGAGGCACATCCAAGTTTGGTTGTTTTGCTCGTTTTCAACGACTTAGAAGAAAAGTTCCGCTTTGAAATACGAACTACACCCCAACGCCGATGAAGGAGAAGGAGTGACTGCTCAGCACCAAAGAATCGAATGCTACAAATTTATACGCCTAGCTTTGGTTGCTAAATGGAAATGTTTCTTAATTGCTAGAACTAGGCGGTGTTTTATTGCAGGAGTACGCGGGCCACGTGAAAAAGTCGTTAGACGGGCGTTTTATGTTAGCGACCAAAATCGTTTTGTCCATTTTGCAAATTGGCAACAAGCGCAAAAGCACTGCCGCAACTCAGATTCGATGACTGATGCGGAGGCTTGTCCGCACCTCCGCTAGTTCTGCTCACCACAACAGCGTATAATGTTTCACTATTGGCGTCGTGGCTGGACTTCCAGAGCCTGAAACTCGAAACTGCTCGATCTTCCAGCTCCTTCTCGATTTCAGTCGTTGCCCACCATCCGCCATCCGCTGGCACCGGGGCTGCATCGATCCGACGAGGCGGCGAGTGACGAGCGCGAGGCAACACTCGACACTTCCTTTTCTGAGAGTCATGGCGTATTTTCCTAGTGCATCTACCTCTTTTCGATCCTCCAGCGCCAGACGCTGCGTGACATCAGATTGAAGAGGGCTGAGGTATCGATCATTCGTCTGAACGAACACCACACTACCAAGAAAGCTGCTTGACCAAACAGAACTACGGAACATCATTGCCACCGTGTCGACTAAACAGACTGAAAATTTTCACCCATGCATCGTATGTGTTACGCTTCACAGATCTCTCTAGCTGAGGAAAGCAGTAACATAGAAATTATCCCACACCAGGCCCAACTGCGATTGTGTTTATTTTCATTAGCCATGAAATTTCATTGTAAACCAGAAACAAATAACTACAGAGACAGTACGATCTCTAGATAATAGACTTGCACAGAACCATAAAGAAAATATACCAAATAAGGTCATTTTTATCACAAAACATAATTGAGGATAAACCTCCAGCGTCCGTGTTGATTTCTGATGAAACACGGTGAAATCTTGTCCTCGCTCCAGCACATGAGTGAACAATGGCGAACCATAAGAAGTGCGCAGAATACGAAAGTACCTCAAGGAATCGAAAACAGGAATACAATTGGTTCTCACTAATTGGAAATAAATAGTATTCATAAAATTACGTGCTTTATATCTGTTTCTGTCGACTACTTTACAGCATTTAGTGTTCACTGGTCAAGTATGATTTATTCACACAGCTACGCTTTGCAGCTATTGGTGGCGGTAACATTGGGAGGCAAAACCGATTTATATTTTATATAATGAACTGAGGCCATTGACTAGAACAAATCACAGAGGAAGAAGACAAAGCAGTTAATCTCAAATTATTAAAGTTTTCGCATTTTGCTGCTTTTTGAATTTCTGAGAATTCCAATTGTGACGGCAACGAACTCAGAGTATAAGTCAGAGCACTGAGTACTTAGAGGGTGGACACTGAAATGCACTAGGAAGATTTTGAGTGAGCAGCCTGTGTATTCTTTTTGAGGAAGAGCCTTCTCTCTACAAACTCTTTCAGACACCGCTGAGAGATGACCCGCATGGCCAGCTTTGACAAGAGGATGTCGTTTACTCTTGAAAAAACTTGCTGAAATCACCTTAAGGACTGCTATTACAAAAAAGGAAACCTGAGAACATTCTTC